CTTTGCCTTCACTACCCTTGGCGTCAGCCTAGACAACAACTACACAAACATGAAGTCCGGGGTGTACACGTTTCGGGCACATGGCACTATGTACCACAAGGTGCACTCGTTCGGTCCAAGATCTCGCCCTGAACATCTGCAGTTGTACTTCTACGATGACGATCCCAGCTTAAGCCATCGCAAGGAGGCCACCAAGCAATTGGACCAGCACGTTGTCAGCAAGTTAGTGGACGTCCTGAGGGAAAACCCCTACTCCCAACAGTTTAGGAGTTTGGGTGCCCACAAGGAAAACCTCGAGGAGTACCGGATAGACCTCAACATTGACCAGAAGCTAGACCAACGAAGATACGATAGACCCGTGTCATCCGAGGTGGCTGCAATTTGGGTCGAGGGAAGCGATCTAGCAAACAGGTTCAACCGCAGCATTACACTCTATGGGGACAATAACGAGAAGTATAGTATACATGCCACAGATGGCTGTTATGACCCGCTCACGTATCCCCTCTTTTTTCCAAGGGGGGAGCTTGGTTGGCATCCAAATATCCCTAAGCACAATGTCCCTTGGGAGGTTGCACAACAACCAAGAGGAAACCGTGATAATGATTCAGGTGCGTCTGGTTGTTATGCTTATATGCCAGAAAAAGTTCTCTATCCTTCCATATGGTACCTAACCTTCTTCTTTCACGTCTTTCCACAGAGGGGAACAGCTGGTTGTGTGTCTCTGTCAGGGACTACTACTGTTACCGACTACAGACGCGCCCTGCGATATTCTACCCCATACTACACGGAGCACGCCTGTTTCAGCAGTGGGGTGTTGACATGTTCATCAAGATTGAGGGATGTAGGCTAAAGTGGATCAGGGACCACCAGAGAGAGATAGGTGCCGATCTATACCAAGGCCTTGTGGATAGCATCGCGGTTGGGGAGATGCGGGCGAGCACTGTTGGGAAGAGGATCGTGCTGCCAGGGACGCATCAAGGAAGCAACCGAGACATGAAACGGAGGCAGATGGACGCCATGGCACTGGTGCAGACATATGGGAAGCCTGACATCTTTTTGACTATGACATGCAATCCTAGCTGGGAGGAGATACTGAATGAGCTGCTTCCTGGACAGACACCCCAGGACCGACCAGATCTTATCGCACGCGTGTTCAGGGCCAAGCTGGAGACCATGAAAGAGATGTTGTTCAAAAAGCACATCCTCGGTGTTGTGGTAGCGCATGTGTATGTCGTCGAGTTCCAGAAGAGGGGCCTCCCCCATGCACACTTCTTGCTGATCATGAATTCAAATTATAAACTCGTGGTGCCAGAGCAGTATGCCCGCGTCATATCTGCAGAGCTCCCGGACAGGCATAAGTATCCAGAGCTCTATGCCATGGTCGTGAAGCATATGATGCACGGCCCATGTGGCAATCTTAATCCCAAAAATGTGTGCATGCAAGACTTGAAGTGCAAGAGCAAGTACCCACGACCGTTCAACCAGAACACCTTACAGGGGAAGGATTCATACCCAGTTTATCAACGGCGAGACGATGGTCGTCAGGCTAAGGTCCGTCGTCAAATGCTGGATAACAGATGGGTTGTGCCTTACAACCCTTATCTGTTGCGGATGTTCAACTGCCACATAAATGTCGAGGTGTGCTCCAGCATCAAGGCCGTCAAGTACCTTTACAAATAAGTATACAAGGGTCACGATCGAGCTTCATTCAGCATTGACCAGCCTGACAACAACGGGGTTGTAGACGAGATTAAAAGGTACGTTGATGCGAGATGGGTTACTCCACCGTAGGCGATGTGGAGGATATTCGGCTTCAACCTTTCTGAGAGTTTCCCGTCGGTCCTACAGTTGCCGCTTCATCTCCCTAATATGAATAGTGTCACGTTCAAAGCAGGAGAGGACCTGACCGATGTCGTCGCCCGTGATACTGCATCTAAGTCAATGCTGACAGAGTATTTCCCCGCTAATCAGCAGCACGTGTGGGCTCGGGATATCCTGTACAAGGACTTTCCGGGAAGTTTCACATGGCAGAGACAGAAATACTGGAGGCCGAGAGAAAAGCAGCACCAAGTAGGTCGAATCGTGTCAGCCCATCCAGCTGAGGGGGAGCGGTACTTTCTGCCAGTGCTGCTTAACCACGTACCAGGCAAGACATCCTTCGAGGACCTGCGGACCATGGACGGAGTGCTATGTGATAGCTTCCGTGAGGCTGCCGAGAGATTGGGCTTTATTGAGGCCGACAACACGCTTGACGAGTGTCTTATAGAGTCAACACAGTTCGCGATGCCAGCCTCACTTAGGAGGCTCTTTGCAACTATCTTGGTATTCTGCGAGCCAGGTGACGTGCGCGGTTCTCTCCCATCAAAGTTGTATCCTCATCTCACAAAATAAACAACTTAATCCTAACCGTATACATATTACTAATCATCTAGCAAGCGTTCAAACTGTGTACATCCAACACAGCTACCAATGCAGAACGTGGAGGGAGAGGGGGGAGCCGACAGTGACAAGGTAAGAAGATCCGTGGGCACCTTGATTCTAACGCAGAGGAAGGGGAGCAGAGCTCGGTGGCGAAGAGAAGCCGTCGGCGTCGTCGTGCACCACGGAATCCACTCCTGCTCGATCTCCGCCCATCCGGGCGAGCACGGCTTGCTGCAGGGTCTCCTCGTGCTGCACGGCGTGCGCCTATCGCCGGGCGTTGCCACCAGAAGATTCCGACCGGTGGCACCATCGCAGCGGAGCGGCACGGGGTGGGGGACGCGGGGCAGGGGCGCCGCACGGTGGATGCCGCCGCCCAGACTGCGCGCGCGTCCGCGAGAGCGCTGCCCCCCAGATCTCGCCGGACATCAGGGAGTGATGGGGGCGGGTGTGGGAGGCTCGCGACGGCGCAGCAAGCGGTAGGGATGGTGCGGAGGCGGGGGGGTGGGAAGTTGGGCTGGGATGGGTGCCTAGCACCACACGGTGTGCGGATGCGCGCCGTGATGCGCCGGCGGCTGCACAGAGGATGAGGGGAGCTGGGTGGCTAGCTGAAGGGGAAAGGGGTGAGCCGTGAGAAGAAAGTGAGACTGAGAGTCACCGATGTAGAATACTCCAGTTTTTTGTCGCAAGGCTCTATATTTTATATATATTGGAGTAGCATATACTCACATCGTCCCAAAATAAATGTCCAATCTTAGTACAATTTTGTATTAAAGTTAGCACTTTCTCCGTTCGGAAATACTTGTCATCAAAATGAATAAAAGAGGATTTATCTAGACTTATTTTAGTTCTAGATGCATCTCTTTTTATTCATTTTGAAGACAAGTATTTTCGGATGGAGGGAGTATAAAATTGAGACATTTATTTTGGGTCAATGGAATAGAACCGAGCTATTTAGACGGTTGTCAGGGCTATCAAAAATCTTAGATGTAGGCTTTTTAACATTTTATTTTGCATGTTGCATATGAATTATGATACTGCTCACTGAAAAAAATTATACCTCTATTTAAATCATAGTTGTATATATGAATTCCAGGAAGTCCAGAGATGTCCAAAAAACACTTTCGTAGGTATGCATTCAGGCGTATAATACTTACTAACACAGAGATAATCTTGATATACAGAATTGACTAATGATAATTGATAGAGTTAAATACACTACAGGTGTCCTAACTTGTCCGGCGCGGTTAGTTTGGTGCCTAAACTTGACAAAAGTGATGTCGTAACTTGTCTACGGTGCCTCTGGACGTATGCCGCCGTATCGAGTTCCCGCGTGGCATTCCAGTCTGTCGCTGGGCCACATGTCAGTGGTTGCCTACGCGCGTTGTGAGCTATGCATGTTGTATTTTACAGGAATGCCTCTGGATTTTAATTAATTCTCGCAAAATATACCCCTTGATTTTAATTAATACTTGCAAAAAATACCAGGAAGTCAGCGTACAGGGACTTCGAACATGGGATATGTCGTTGCCTGACAATCGAGCGGACCAGGCGGCCACGGCCTGCTTTGCGCTTAATTATCAGCAAGCAGTTTATATAGATGATTGTACGTATCGCTCTGCATATGCTTCTACTGGAGCAATTTTCTTTTTATTTATTCCAAGTTACTACCTTGTCTTTCTTCGAGTAATGTTTCTGTTTAGTTTTTATGATACATAAATTTTTCCATGTGAAAAATAAAATAATTATCAAGAAAGCTCGCCGCATGTAGTACAGATAGTAGACATTGGTTATGTCTATTACGCATGATTGTGTGTTTCAATTTGCAAGTGTAGTTATCACGTACTTGGTTTGTATCTACTATGTAGATGACTGTTTCGTCATGTTTGTTTGTATTTATGGTGTTTTAAGGGATGTACTAATTTCACGGATGATTTAGTTATTATCTACATTTAAAAACAAGTTTGTCCATGTTCATAGATTTTGAATTACCTTTGACATTGTTCTTTTGTCGAAATATGTTCCATAAAAAGCACTCATTTAAAATATCCAAGTCCATGCTATGACTTTGTCAAGTAATCTTTTCACATCATACTTCGTATGTCCGTGGCAACGCACGGGCATTCAACTAGTGTTTTATATTGTGGGATATAGGGAGCAGTTATTTTGCGTCGTTGTTTGGACGTTTGGTCCACTTGTGTGTTACACCGTTCTCAAGATTCCTCAAAGTGAAACACGGGTGGGTTGTGATTATGGTCAGCGGGCCATATATCACAGCGTAAATAAGGAAATGAAATTGCTCATAATAAATTTCTAAATACAATAGTATAATCGGACATATAAACATCTGCTGCCCCCCACTAGAGCAGAGCAGGGGCGACGCTAGAAGCAGCTGCATCAGCATGCACGCTTCGGAATTGTGAAGATACTACTAAACAAATGGGGCACCTCTGCTTGGCAAGGTTTCGCGGCAGGGAGGTTTCTGTTCTGCGGTGCAACTGTGCGTGCGCATCCCAGCATCCAACGGCGCGCGCTTCTTTGACTGCTGCATAGGGTGGCCATCTTGAGATGCGTGTATCGCCTCATGTGGCGAGGCTCATCGATAGCGTCGCGGCAAGGATGGAGACGAGAGCCAGCGTTGCCCTGCCCATCGTCGTCGCCGGGGCGGCGCCGACGTCGCTGTAGTCCGGAGGTGAGTTTGATCCTGGGCCTGGAGGGGACATCGACCCGAAGTCTGGAGGCGAGCTTGATCCATACATAGGCGTCCCGGTGCTAGGGGTGTCGGGCGTCATTGGCGTCGGGGTGAATGGGGTCATTGGCGTCGGAGTCATCGGCGTGGTCGGCGTCAGAGTGGTCGGTGATGGCGGGGGCATCATGTTCCCTTGAGCGCCGCCGCTGCCATTTCGTGTCACAAGAGAACATTCAGGCCTCGGTTACAGATAAGTAGTCCGTAATAGACATATTCAATTTCAGTTTTTGTTTCGGGTTGGGTTTCTAGTAAGAACTTTACCTTGACGCTGGATACTGGCACGATCCTGAGCCTGCAAGGTGGACATAAATTCGCGTGAGAACGAAATACAAGGGCTGAAATTTCAGCTGGAAAGATTTTGCCAAAAGCTGCTGCATTTCAAAGACGGAGACGTTTAGCTTACTGGGATCGGTGGTGGTGATGGTGGCCGTGCCGCCAAAGTCGCAGCTGGTGGGGAGAGGGTTCTTCTGGTAGTAGCTGTTGAAGGCGTAGGATGCATGGTCGTGGATGGTATCCGGGTTGAAGCAGCTCCCGCCTGTCTGGATCGCCGAGCAGTCTACGCCGCTGTAGCCGCACGCATAGTCCAGCGCTACCTGCAGCGCGGACGTGCTCGCGCTCTGGCTCGCCACGCACCACGTCCCGCCACCGCCACCGCCACCGCCGATGCCTCCAGCAGCACCGCCGCCGCCCACGCCACCGGCAGCTCCCCCGCCCGTAGCACCGCCGCCCCCCACGCCACCGCCAGCAGTACCACCACCGCCGGTGGCACCACCAGCAGCACCGCCACCGCCGGTGGCACCACCAGCAGCACCGCCACCGCCAATGCCACCTCCGCCGACGTCACCGCCGCCGTTCGCATCCGCCAGCGACGGGAACCTGGAGGACATCGGCATGGCGTAGGATGCGGAAGTGGGCGTGGTGATCGTGGGGTACGAGGGTTTCATCACCGAGACGGTGGTCAGGATCCTCGGATGTTGGGTGAGTCGGCTGGATGCTTCTACTCTCCGGTGTTGTGTTCCTGCAGGGATCAAAAGAAGAAGAAACGTGTTAGGTGAAAAGATGTGCGAAATGTTACTGACACATGTCAAGTCACTTTCTTTCCGTGGATGCACTCCCAATTCTTCATGCAGCATCCAGATTTGGGTTCGTTCAAATACCAGCACAGCCTTTCGCACCAAAACAAGCATCGGACAGCACCAAAACATCTCTGTCATATCATACCTAATGCACACACACAATATTCCACAAGAACAAGAGAAGACAACTCACCGCAGCACAAGGCAAGGACGACGAGAAGGTAGGCAATGCAGCTCGACGGCCTAAGAAAACAAGCCATGACTGTCTTCCTCCCTCAAGAATCAAGATCAAGAGCTCGGTCTCTGCTCCCGAACAAGCCAGGGGTCGATGGATGGATGGGTACCTGACGAGAAGGGAAGTGTAAAGTAGGACCTTGCTGTCCCTGGGGGCAGTGCATATATACCTGACGCAATGTCGCGGAATCATAGGTTTCTTCCCCAACAGGGGAGGGGCAGGGAGGGAGGGAGGGAATAAGAGGAAACTTGGGAGTGGAGGCTGGGTCTGGGAGCTTTGCAGGGGCACGCAAGCCGGAGGACACAAAATATGGGAAAGAAACGCGTGGGAAAGTGAAAGGCTTCGGCCGATCGATCAGGGGGGCGGAGGAGATCTACCGAGAGGGCAAGCAAAAGCTGGACGAGGAGTATTTTGGAGGTGAAAGAATTCCTCATGTCGGAAGCATTCCTCGAGTGCGCGCATCGGGATTGCGGCGAATACTTGGCTTTGCGGTTTTATATCTCTGGATTTCGTACGAGGTTCCAATATATTAACCGGATTTCTCGAAGAATAGGTAGGAAATGGCTGGTATTTGGCTTAAAAATTGTCTTTTTTTAAAGGCCAACGCTAGGCGCCGGTGCACCGGCCCAAATTTGGGCCGGTCCCACGCTAGCCGTTGGATGTCATGTCCCTCAGCCGTTGGATCTCCTTCTTCCACCTCTCGTTGACCTCTCTGTCGCTGCAAAATACACCCCGCGGGAGACGCGCGCCGCCAGCCCCCTCCGCCTGGCTGCACTCGCCGTCCTCCTCCCCTGCCACACCCGTCTCTGGTCGTCCTCGCCGGCCACCGCCCCCTCATCGGTCGTCCTCACGAGCTGCAAAAAGGCTGTTTGCAGCTCCCTGTAGACATCTTTTCCAGCATGGATGGCTGCCCCTCGTCGCATTCTATTGACTACCTGTGAGCTTGTAGCACTCGACGCCGCGATCGCTGCTCGCCGGACCGGTGGTCGCGGTTCATAGCTCTGGCCAGTCGCCGGTTGCAGCACCTCAGCTTCGCCCCGTTGTAGCAAATTTTCTTGCCGGTTGTAGCACTTTTGGTCAATGGTTGTAGCACACTTGGGGGTTGTCGGCCATGGTCGGGGAGTGGGCGCTGGTTCTAGCAAAACACAAAAGGCTGGTTGTAGCAAAACTGGCGATGGGTTGCAGCTTCGCCGTAGCCGGTTGTAGCTTTTCACGTTGTTTGTAGCTTATGTCGCCTCCGGTTGAAGCCTTTTCTGTTGCCAGTTGAAGCTTTTTCCATCAACGGATGTAGCTTTTTTAGACGCCGGTTGCAGCTTCTGTGGGGTCGACCCAGCTTTCGTCGTCCCTCCGGTTGAAGCTTTTTTTCTCGCTGGTTGTAACACCTGCGGTCGCCTTCACCAGCTCTGGCGGATGCTGGTTGTAGCACCTTCTTCAGGTGCAGCTCCGCCCATGGAGGCAACTTCGCCGGCCACGTCCGTTGCAGGTCCAGCCGTCACGGAGCAGTAGTAGATGGAGGTGAGAGAGGGAATAGAGGGAGGACGCTGGCTCGGGGGTTGGCTTCGAGGGTGCTCGCCGGAGAAGAAGAGAGGGGGGGGGGAGATGGCTCGCCGGAGAAGATCGCCGAGCAGGGCTTCCATGGCAGCTAGGATGAGGGAAGAGAAAAAAGACCAGGTGAAAGGGGAAGAGAAGGATGCGGGAGATGGGAGGTGGGGAAAAAGATAACGTGGTGGACCCGTCCATCCCCAGTTTCAGTCGTTGTAGCTACGCGCGCCTGGGCGCGACCGGCCGAAAGGTTCGGCCGGTGCGCTAGTAAACGTTTCCCTTTTTTAAAGAGCGATATATTTGGCTGACTGGCCTACGTAATTGGTTGCAGTTATCTATATGTAGTATAATCATAACTGGATACAGTAGTAGCGACTTTGTCCAGAGGCCCACCTTAATGATGAAAATGGTGATTATAGTGAGATTAAAAAGTAAGGGAAATGCATAACGTAGGACACCATCCTTTCATTTCCAATAACCCAGCCTGACCTTTTGTTTTATATTAATTTCGGCTTACTTTTGCCGACAATTTTCCAATGGATATGTGTGGCATGGCCGCATGGACAAAGCTTGCTAGTTGTGCTCTAACTTCTTTCCTTTGGGTTGTTAGCCAATCCACTCCTTGACACCATAAAAAAGTGGAAAAGATTAAGGCGGTAGACAAAGTTAGCAGCGCCGACACCGCGTGCTTGCACCGTTTTGACGGTGTTGTTTTCAAGCTTTGTCCCTCTCAATGCATCATTCATGACATGTCAAGATTAGTCGTCCATGAAGGGACCCGTCTGATTCTTAGGGCCTGTTCGGCAACCCTCTAGCCCCCTCAGATCCTCAACTCCTCAGCTCAACTCCTCCGCCCAACTCCTCGTTGAAAAAACCCAGAGTTCAGAAACGTTTGGCAGCACAGCTTCGCGATCGGGAGCACTGGCGTGGGCTGGCAGCTGATTCGGCTTTGATCTGGCCCAGCTCGAGTGATAAGCTGCAGCGAACCGGTACGCTTGATCACTTGGCGGTGGCATGCAGCTGTAATTCCAGTCAACTCTCGCTCCTTTGATTTTTGAGAGCAACAGATGTCTAGCTCCTCAGCTCCTCGTAAAATACAGTACGCTTCGCTCCCAGCTCTTTTTTCTTTAACTCCGGGAGTTAACCCGTTCGGCACAGCTCCAAAGCTGGAGTTGATGGAGTTGGGAGCTGGAGAGCAACCGAACAGGCTCTTAGATGTCTAGATGTAATCCAAATGTTTCAAAAAAAAAGTAATCCAATGCTATAACTTTGGAGTTTTCATTTTTATGACAAATTTCAGTCACATGTCTTGATGAGCGCATATTATCCATGGAATTGTTTACATTGACAGCCAGTCTAGTTATTACAAGTCATAAGAATACTTGGTATTGTTTTTTCAACCACCTAGGCCGAGGAGAGTTTTATAAGAAATGCTGGCATATCATTAAGGATGACCTCTTGTTAATGTTCAATGACTTGTTTAATGGCGAACTACAGCTATTCCACTTAAACTTTGGAATGATAATCGTTGTTGCCAAAGAAGGAGGAGGCGGTGTGTATTGAGCAGTTCAGACCGATATGTCTATTTAATGTCAGCTTCAATTTTTTACTAAAGTTGACACTAACCAACTGATGCAGATTGCACATAGTGTGGTGCAACCAACACAGGCGGCTTTCATGCCGGGAAGACACATACTAGAGGGTGTTGTCGTCCTATATGAAACACTTCACGAAATCCACTCGAAGAAACTGGATGTGGTGGTCTTCAAGGTGGGTGTACGATAAGGTTAAATGGTCGTTCCTCTAGTAGGCCTTACGTATGAAGGGATTCGACCATTCATGGATGAAACAGGTCGATTCATGTGTACAAAAAGGCAGCATCGGGAATTAAAGTGAATGATGATGTATTCATTATTTCCATACGCAAAAGGGCCTCAGACAGGGGGGCCCGATTTCTCCTATCTTATTCAACATAGTGACAGATATGTCGGCAATTCTGATAGGAAGAGCTAAAGAGGATGGCCAAGTAGGAGGATTAGTACCCCATCTTGTAGGTGGCAGGGTATCCATACTATAGTACGTTGACGACACTATTATTTTCATGGAATATGATCTCGCAAAGGCCAGAAATATGAAGCTGGTGCTATACCTGTTTCAGCAATTGTCGGGATTAAAGATCAATTTTAATAAGAATGAACTGTCCTGTTTTGGAAGAGCCAAAGATGAACAAGACGTTTATAGACAATTGTTCGGATGTGAATTGGGTGCCCTTCCGTTTAGCTATTTGGGTATACCAATTCATCATCGCAAGCTATCCAACAAGGAGTGGAAGTGCATTGAAGATCGATTTGAAAAAAAAACTAAACTGATAGAAGGGTAAGCTTATGTCTTATGATGGACGGTTGGTACTGATAAATTCAGTAGTCACAACTATGCCGGTGTTACTATTGTCTTTTTTGAAGTACTCGTAGGGGTACGGAAAAGGTTAGACTTCTATCGATCATGATTTTTTTGGCAAAGCGATGAACTAAAGAGAAAATACAAGCTAACTAAGTCGGATAATATTTGTAGACCGGAGGACCAGGGTGGGCTCGGGAATGTGAATTTAGATGTAAAGAATAGATGTTTGCTCAGTAAATGGTCGTACAGACTTTCGGTGGAGACCCAAGGTATGTGGGTACAGATTTTGCGTGTAAGTACCTGCATTCTACGACCTTGGCCCAACTTACAGTTAGAACTAATGATTCACCTTTATGGAAGGGGTTGGTGAGGAAAAAAACATCATTCTTCCATAGGAATAAATTCATCATTGAAAACGGTAATTTGACTAGATTCTGTGAGGATACATGGTTAGGGGAGGAGCCTTTGACCACACAAGATCCGTCCCTTCATAACATTGTACATCATAAGGATGCTTATGTTGCTAGAGTATTATAGTCAGTCCCTCTAAACATCCAGTTCAGGAGATCTTTAGTAGGAGACCGATGGGACGTGTGGTTACATCTAGTGCAGAGGTTGATGGACATTCAACTCTCTGACGAGCCAGATGTGATTCACTGGAGTTATCTACTAATGGAATTTTCTAAGTGAAATCTATGTATTTAAATTTAAGTTACTCTGGTCCAATTCTGAAATTGCTAGACATTTGGAAGATTAAAGTGCCTCTAGGAATCAAAGTCATCATGTAGTTTGTTCACAAGGAGGTGATTCTGATTTAGGAGAACTTAGTAAAGCGAGGATGGGAAGGTAGTCAACGATGTTGTTTTTATGATCAGGATGAAACTATTAAGCACCTCTTTCTCAATTGTCCTTTCCCCAAACTTTTATTGCGCTCGATTCATATAGCCTTTAATGCCAGCCCTCCAAGTAGTATTAACACGTTATATGGGACGTGGCTAAATGGAGTGGCGCCAAACACCGCAGGGCATATTCGGGTAGGAGTAAGCGCATTATTTTGGACTATATGGAAGTGAAGAAATGGCA